TAAACACAAAACCACGGCAGCGCGTCTTTCAAGCAGGCCGGGATAAGCTATAGACGCCCGACTGTCTCTATTTTTGTTTTCGCTTGTCATCACGAGATATGTGGCGCGTATCGTGAAAGTTTTGACACCTCTTCGCATAAACACTTCGCATAAACACAAAAACAAACCGGTCGTTAAGCGCAAACGTGGTGTTCCAACCGCGTTTCCAACCCTACCGTCACTATAGCGTAACCCCCTGATCCGCGGAAAACGTTTGGTTTTTGCACGCGTGTCAGTTGTGCGGAATCCTGTCAGTTGACAACGACACATTTGTAACACAAATCCACAAGGAAAGCCGTGTGTACGTTCATTTATATGCCCGCATACGTATACCAACGAACGCACGAACATCCATACCTAATTGCCCACCTCCTTCTCGGAAAGACTAAAAATGAAGTTCACACTAGACGCGTAAACCTCAAAGGGCCCCTAAACCACACTGAATTGAAAGGCGAGACGGGAAGCCCCACCCACCCCCCTTTCCTTTCTCACCTTCAATGACCTTCTTACAAACGTTATCTCCTCCACGCTATTCATTTCTTCAGCAAACGCGTGAAATATCTGTACTCAGCGTTGATCCCGTCGGGATTTCATGCTTTTCGACTACACAAACATTTCTGAGCTCGCGCAGTCGCGAACGCACAAAAAGAAATGAAATCGGTTTATCGCGCATGATAGCCGTGCAGTACGAGGCAGAACGTAGATGCGACTGCACGGCGAAAAAAAAACTCCCAAGCATTTACCCGAGGGTGAACATGGTTAAGTGCGAATACACGGGGTGATGCTATGAGGGGTACTTATTAATTCGCACTATTATATTTATTATTCACACTATGGTGCCTTTATGGTGTAATGGTTCCTGGGAATCGCAATTTCATCACACGGGGGAGTTTACGTTAACTCACTGGCGAATGCCAACGGATTTTAACTTTACTCCCCCTCACGACCCGCTCTCGACGGGAGACTGAGAGAGAAGTTGGGCGCACGAGAGAGAGGGGTGCGCGCGCAGCTGCAGCGAGCGAGGAGAGCGGAGGAGCGAGCGAAGGGGGAGGGGGTATAAGGCGCGTTACTGACACCGATATCAGCGTCGCGTCCGTGGCTTATTCGGTAGAGCGTCGCGCTGCGGCCCGCCAAGTCCTCTTTCTTTTAAAGATAGAGAGAAGACTGCGGACGCCGCCGACGGCGGTGGATGGTTTGAGGTCGCTCATAAAGTGTATTCACACTTAAAAAAAAACAACAGCAAAACGTAGGCGACAATTCACAACACGTATAACTGTCGTATATCGACCGAACGAGAGCTTATACTTCATCCTGACGTCACGTGAACGGTCAGCTGGCTTTACGAATTGTGCCGCAAACATGGGAATGCGGCGGTAGAAAACGACGCGTGCTCGTTCTTTGTCTTGATAAAATATTCGACGCCGCGCACAGAACAACCACGCACAGAAAAAAAAAAACAAGTATAGACACCACGGGCGCTCACTTACAACTGTTTATTTCGTGGGGAAACACGCTAATATAGCCCCGCCGCGGTGGTCTAGTGGCTAAGGTACTCGGCTGCTGACCCGCAGGGCGCGGGTTCAAATCCCGGCTGCGGCGGCTGCATTTCCGATGGAGGCGGAAATGTTGTAGGGCCGTGTGCTCAGATTTGGGTGCACGTTAAAGAACCCCAGGTGGTCTGAATTTCCGGAGCCCTCCACTACGGCGTCTCTCATAATCATATAGTGGTTTTGGGACGTTAAACCCCACATATCAATCAAACACGCTAATATAAACCCACTCTTCGTCGACACATGCGCAACATGATCAGCCCTTCTCTTAATCGCGCTATGGGACACATGCTCTCTAGATAACGTGCTTCTGACTCACTCAGGTTTAGTGACGTTTCGCTAACCTGTTTCTTTATGCGATATGCCTCCAAAATTTTTCGTGCTAACTTGTTTGTACTTCTTCCCTGGATCTAGTCTGCTTGAAGCCTGGTGTGCATTCACAAGCTGTAACATGAGTGCTCAGATGTGCAACGTCCTTATTCTTTACCTTGAGAGCGTGTTCCCTCGCTGGATGGATGGATATAGCTGTACCCTTCAGATCGGGCGGTGGCTAGCGCCACCGAGCCGTAATGCTTAATGAACCGAAAACTAGATTTTTTTTTTCCTTAAATAGTGAGGTTGAGGATTTGTACTTTGCAGCGAAGGGTTCAATTTTTACTCGTGCCTTGACTTTAGCCACCAATCAGATAACCTCCTTCTAGTTAATTCTACCCGCTTAGTTTATTTTGCCCTCACTGTCCCTAAACCCCAGTGCTTTGAAAAACTCTGCGTCATCAACCTGAACTACAGGCTGAAGCCCTTTACAGAACATTATCAAGTGTTCGGCAGTTCCTTCTTCCTCTCCACACGCACTGCATACTGTGTCAACCCCTTTGTATTTGGCCCGATATGTCTTGGTTCGCAATACTCCCGTCCTGGCCTCAAACAGTAGAGAACTACCCCGAGTATTATCATATATCCTTTCCTTGGCTATTTCCTCCTTAAAAGCTTGATAGATCTCCAGTGCGGGCTTCTTAATCATGCCAATTCTCCACATATCAGTCTCGGCTTTCTTCACCTTCTTCTCATGGATAGAAGAAGAAGGTGAAGAAGAAGGGATCGCTCGAGCAGCGCCCTGTGTGGCCAACATTGCTATACCCGTCCGATAGGGGAATTTCATAAACCACTACAGGGGCGCACTTCGTGAACGGCCGCGCATGTTTCTTTTTGCAGCCTTTCGGCTGTTGAGCACGGCTTCCATTGATGCGAGGGCAACACTTCGCCAGCTTGTTTTGGGGCGGTGAACACCAGTGGTACACCATGCCGACTGGCGCCCCTTTTTTTTTTAGGTTGTGTGAAACCTTATGCATATAAGATACCGCCTCCAGCCGCTCTTTATTCTTAGGTGCTTGAGCCGGGCCTTTTTTTTTTTTGCCTTGTATTTTCAGACATTATTTAGGGGCCCTCTCGGCAACAGCGAAGCGGGTATATCTTAGGGGCTTGACGTGGCCTTCGTGATTGATGCTAGATCTTTCCTTGGCGTAGGCAGAGTTGAACCACAGCCTGTCACAGACCAAAAAAAAAAAAAAAAAAACTCCCAAGCATTTCCCCGAGGGTGAACATGGTTAAGTGCGAATGCACGGGATGATGCTATGAGGGGGAGTAAAGTTAAAATCCGTTGGCGACGCTGATATCGGTGTCAGTAACGCGCCTTATATCCAGATGGTAGCGTTGCCTCTGGGACATCCATCGCACGACCCGCTCTCGACAGGAGGATGAGAGAGAAGGCGGGCGCGCGCAGCTGCAGCGAGCGAGGAGCGCGGAAGAGCGAGCGAAGGGGGAGGGGGACTATCAGCGTCGCGCCCGTGGCTTATTCGGTAGAGCGTCGCGCTGCGGCCCGCCAAGTCCTCTTTCTTTTAAAGATAGAGAGAAGACTGCGGACGCCGCCGACGGCGGTGGACGGTTCGGGGTCGCTTATAAAGTGTATTCACACTTAAAAAAATTCCCGAACTCCAGCCCCAACGACTAACGTGTGATCCATGCTTTGGCTCGTCTCCTAGTAGAAGCGTGAGCCTATTTCGTCAGTTTGCACTCGGCTTGTGCCAAGTCGGGCAAACTGGGAGTGACACGGGCTTTCTCCACCAGTGGGCGCGGCCGGCGGCGGCTGCTCCTCGACGCATGTGCGGCTAAACGAAGTTAAAACCAGCTGCTGCGAAGTTGTGGCCTTGTTATTGTCAAGCAACAACGTGGAGAGTTCTTCCTTTCCGTACGGTGGACGTTTTACCTCGAGCTTTAGGCGCTTCGCTATTCCTCAAAAAATGACTACTATAGTAGTAAGTTTTAGGCTTCCCGTATAGCTTGTATAGTCGTAGTTGTATTGATTGATGCACAACCACAGCCACGTCTTCGTAGAGCGCCCGAGCAGACGGTTTTTGAACTGCTGGGTGACACCTTGAGGCAGTTTCAGGCTTTGACGTGGTCAGCCTGACTACAGCGGCATTGCGTAGCATGAGTGCCTGACTATAGTGAGCCCCCGCATGCCACAAACACACCATGTCAGAGTCCGAAACTGCCCCCAAGTGCCTGCCCGCAGAACAAAAACAAAAAAAGGCTTCTCGCACGTTCTAGAAAACGCGGCCGTGGCTGCGTGACATACGTAGGCGCACACACAGGGGGAGGGGCAAAGGTTAGTCGCCCCCGCGCCACATCATCCAGGGGACGCGACTCTACGCCATCTTTACTCAGTCGAACCTGCTCCGTCATCGCTTATAGTGCAGGTTTGTGGTCATGCTACTTTTTGATGATTTCGGCAGCCGATGATACCTGTTACATTCCACAAAAAACTCTTCACTTCACTCATTGAGCCCAGGAAAGCCGATGATGAAATACAGGCCGTTGTGAGAGACGTGTGATATCGCTTTATTCTACGTTTTTACATCCATAGCACGGCTTGTTTTACTCGACCGACAGGGTGGGGAGGAGGCATTCAAACATGCACATTCCTGTGCCTGCGTTGTAGTTTTCTCGGCGCTGACAGACATACGAGCCCCATAGGATTCACGATATGTTTCGCCCCATGAAGTTTTGGCATTGCGACAAAGCTTGAATTTCGGTTACTGCGTCTTCAACGTTTGTCTTCAACGGTCAACCCCAATGGCCGCTAAACGCAACCGTAGAAACACGAAGTGCAACACCACGCTACAACTTCTCATACATCCGCATCGTCCAAAGCTGCCACGGTTCTTTGTCTTCAGCCGCATCACGGAGGCTGCCCTTTCCGTACTAGCCAATTGACGCCGCGAATTCAATAATTTCGCGGCATTTGAGCTTTTAGTGGACCTCTGTGGAGGCCTTTGCTTACATTGACCAAACAAAAATTAATAATATTCAAGTGAATACTTAACGAAACTTGAGTTCCTTACCTGGTTTCAGCGTTCACGCGGTGCGTCCAGGACCCGTGTTCACAGCCACCCGAACCCGGCTGGTGCCTGCAGAACATGGTGATGTACTACTACGACCCGGACAGGAGATCGTGCAGCGAGTTCACGTACACCGGCTGCGGCCGCAACTTCAACAACTTCCTCACGAAGCACGAGTGTTACAAGATCTGCATCCAAGGCACGTGCCAAAGACGATTTTGACGTATCTATATCTATGTCTGGGGTGCACGCACAGACAGACAGACAGACAGACAGACAGACAGACAGACAGACAGATAGACAGATAGACAGATAGACAGATAGATAGATAGATAGATAGATAGATAGATAGATAGATAGATAGATAGATAGATAGACAGACAGACAGACAGACAGACAGACAGACAGACAGACAGACAGACAGACAGACAGACAGATAGATAGATAGATAGATAGATAGATAGATAGATAGATAGATAGATAGATAGATAGATAGATAGATAGATAGATAGATAGATAGATAGATAGATAGATAGATAGATAGATAGATAGATAGTAATTGCAGACGAGCTGGTTCATACTTCAAAGCTAGAGGGGAGAGAGGGAGGCGCGTATTCACAAACCAACCTCAACTTTTCCTCGAGTTTTTCTTATCGGTTTTAAACTTTTATTGTGCATGATAAGCAAATTGGACCAGTATTCATAAACCAATATTGTCCTTATTTTTCGCCCTGTTACCATTTTTGTGCCTTTATAACGCGTGTAGAGAGTACAGGTTGTTGAGGAAAAAGTGAGGTAAGGCCGAGGTTGGTTTGTGCATACGTGCTTTAGACGCCCTCACTACACTTCCTACGGGCTCTATGTCCTCCTAACCGCTCATTTCGTCATAAAATGTTGTTAGCATACGTCAGCAATAAACGTTGAGACTATCAGCATTTTGTGCTTTTTGACTACACCCTGCTATATCTCCGCTCGCACAGGGAAAACGCACAAAACGAAGGGAAACCAGTACGTTCATTGAGCATTATGGTCACGTGAGACAACGTAGAAAGGGCGTACGACTGCATGGCAAAGCGGAGCAGAAGACAATTAACAACTGGTATCCCTCGTATATGGACCAATCGAGAGCTCATTTCCTCGTGACGTCACGCGGACAAACTGCAGGAATGTGTGCCGGGTGGACGGCAAGGGTAGGGTATAGCAAGGGTCTGAAAAGAATAACGCTCTTCTAGTTGGTATTTTCAGAGGTTTTTTTAGGGGCGCTCCCCGAAAAATACAGAAAACGAGCGCGTTATTGCCTCCAGGCGTAACTTGGCTTTTCGGCGCAGTTCGTGACTAGAAGAGTTGTCCACGTGCCGCGCAATTTGTGTGCTAACTATCGATGAGTCCACACGAGGAATACCCAGTTGTGAATCGTCTTCTACCCTGCCATGCAACCGCCCACCAGTCCTATGTCTCGCGTGACTATCATGCGCGACCAACAGATTTCACTTCATCTTGTGCGTTCCGACCCGAAGCGAGGGTAGAAACGTTTTAACGTTTTTTCAGGGCGGGGGGGGGGGGGGGGCATCTTTTTTATTTGAAGTGGAGAGCGGGCGGGCAGATTTGGGCATCATTCCCCCCTACGGGCAACCATGGTGGGATGCAAAAACATCGCGGGGGCTCTGTGGTCGACGGTGGATCTGGCCGCAGACTCGCGTTGCCTCGTCGCTTTGGGGTCGGGAACTGCCGCTCGACGTTACCGTCGCGCTTCGACTTTCCGAGCCAGGAGTTCGGGGCCGGCTTGCTAACGCTGACGTTCCACTTCGGTGTGTCGAGCCCCTGTTGCTTCCGAAGAAGTTTGCTGTTGACGTTCAGCTTCCAAGGACGAAGTTCGGGATCCGCTTGCTGACGTTCACTTTCGGCTTCCCGAGCCTTCCTCTGTTCTGCGGCGGTGGTGCTACAACCAGCACCGAAGTTTTTCATAGCGTTTCGCGCACCGTTGCACAGAGAGAGAATCACGGAAGCAAAGCGACCGCACGCTTTATACTGCGTACTTTTAGGCTGCGACACTTGCACCGCCTGCCGGCGTACCCTTAGAGAGATTTAGAGAGTGTGTGTTGCAATGATTTGTTGCGCCACTCCTGAGGTACCTGTTGCGGAGAGGTGCAGATGGGAGGAGGAGAGCGTCCACCTCCGTAGAAGAGGATGAGGGAGAGTTGCGCATGCGCAGTGTGGGTGCGGACGCCGTACAACGGACACTGCCCCGAGCATAAAATTTTCTCGCATCTAAATGCCGGGGAGGGTGCGAGGGTCCGGTGTGCCACCCCTTAGCTGCGCCACTGGTTTTGACTGCGCAAACGGAGATAACCGCGTGTATCCGACGAGCGAGAAATCCTGATATGCTCAACGCTTAAAAACGTTTAGTGCTGTCATTGTACACGTGCTGTAGGAGTACCTTGTCTAAGCACACGATCTAGGTACAATTGACTTGACCGCGACAATCACAATTCGGTACTTGATCATGTTGTGAAACAGTGTTGATCTAAGCACATGTGTCCGCAGCTCATGAACTTACAATAGCCATCGTTTCTATTTTTTTTTACAGGCCGAATGTGACGAGGTCATTGAACAGGCCTGCGGACAGCAACGGGGACTTTTGATTGCCACACGAACACAGCACGTACACCGGTCGGCATGAGGGACGCTTTTTGCGGAAATTAAAGGAGCAGTCCAAGTGGTTTATTTTTTTTCTCAAAGTACACATTATCATCTGTGATGCGGTCATCGAAACAGCAATGTGCGCTCGCGCCTGTGCTTGGCGTGCCTTCCCTTTCTTTCTATCACGAAATTATTGTCGAGTGATGGCATTGACATGTGGGGTTTTAACGCCCCAAAACCACCTTATGATTATGAGAGAAGCCGTAGTGGAGGACTCCGGAAATTTTTACCACCTGGGGTTCTTAAACGTGCACCCAAATCCGAGCACACGGGCCTACAACATTTCCGCCTCCATCGGAAATGCAGCTGCCGGGATTTGATCCCGCGACCAATCGAGTGATGAAGTCACCAGAAAGATGAGAGCCGCAAGTTGATTGACACCAGATACAACATCAAAAACAATATCAACGCTTCAGTGCGACAAGCACACTGACAAGACACCTATACTACGCTTGCAAAGTGAGGTATACCCACTATGTCATTCATTCCGCAGAAAAAAGGTACCCGCTACGCAAACGTAAGGCATAATATGCACTTTGTAAATCAACACGGGTGAAGGGGAGACGGAAAGTTAGGTGGGCAGATGAAGTTCGCGGGTATAAACTCAGCAGCAAGCACAGGACCGAGTTGACTGGCAAAACATGGGAGACACCTTTGTCCTGCAGTGGGCGTAGTCATGCAGGCTCGTGACAATGATATGAATGACTGATTAAATGAAAAACATTGTTGAACTTTTCGGCGCTTCTGCCGGAAGAAGGTGGTCATCTCTTTATGGGAATCCAGATAAGTCTCACGCCACCTACACTCTAAAAAAATATCGAGTAAAAAGGGTGTCTTTTTGTCCCACAACAATAATCGTCATCAGGCTTGCGTGCGCTTCCTTTCTTGAAAACTCGGCGCTGGCCACTTTTTTATCGAGAATGCAATGTAACCCTGATAATGGGCATGTCGGTCGTGACCGGAATATACCGGGCGCGGCGCGATAGCGCAAGGATGGAACGCAATATAGATGACGATTATTGTTGTGGGACAAAAATACACCCTTTTTACTCGCTCTTTTTTTAGAGTGTAGCTCCTGGCGACGAGCCACGAATAGTTTTCCAGGTACCCACTTTGTATATGCTGTGGCTGATGGTATGGCATGGGAAAAAAATTCCAGCGTATTCACGAAGTGAATGATGATGAAGGAGCTTGATCCAGAGGTTCCATTCGGTAAACCGTGAATCCTCTGTACATATGCTCAATCATCATCATACGAAGACGTGACACGACAGTTGTTGTAGTGTGATTGTATTGACACGTTATATACACAATGTTTATTATTTACATATCAATGTACTCTATACAGATATTCAAGAACTGACACAGTACAGCATATACATTTTGTTCAAAAGTTCATTTACGTATCACATAAGTTCTGAGCAACGTTTTTCTTTTAGTATAAAGGCTTTGTGATCCATAACGTACAAAGCCAGAGGATATTGATTTATAGGATCTAGTGGAAAGTTCGAGAAGGCCACGTCTATACAAGTGCCCCTGGTGTTGGTGGGAAGCTTGTATGAAATGCACCGAAGTGCGCAACACGACATCATGTGTTGGACTAACCAGTTGTCGCGCATGATGTCCACGTTAAAGTCTCCGGTGAGGACGAAGGGGCCATGCTTGTATTTTGTTTCGTATTGCAGCGGTGTCCAGACTTCGAGCCTGCGCTGCAGCCGTGTTGTGAGCCCTCCGCGCCACCACCTTGGATTTCTGCGGTGTTCATAGTGGGAAACGGTCTTGACACGCACTGAGTGATGTCCGGCGAAAGAGATAGGAAGCACGCCGAGAGCGAGCTCTATATAAAAGCGTGGTCTCCTACCAAACTAGAGCACGCGCCGACAGTGGAGCGAGCGTCGTATGAGCAGCGGCGTGACATCTAGTGAGTGCTCTTGAAACGAAGATCACAGCTGCGCCTCTAGCGGTAGCAATGAGCATTAGTGTACACACCAGTGACACCACACGGCCGGGCTAGACTACACCTGCGCGCTCGTTTCTTATGACCTTCGCATCATGTGTAGTACACGCCTCTCGCCACTCCTTTGAGGGGGGCGCTGCGGCCCTGCCCTCTTCGGCCGCTCTGTAGAGGGCGCACAGCTCCAACAATTGAGTTCGGGCGCGTTTTTCCAGTAACCGAGCGTTGAAAAACGATCTGCTTAATTGTTGAAGACGCACAAATGGTTTATGACATTGCTCATACCTGATGATGCTGGGCTTGAACCTATATACCTCCGAAGAGTGCACTTTGCTGGCAGTGCGCGCATGATCGTAGCCTCTTTGTGACAGAAAGTGCCCTATCACACACCCTTTACAAGTTTGTCTGGGTGCGCTGAATGCTTTCTTCTGTCACATTCTGTTTGATGCAAAAGAAACACGACCTTTTTTTTCTCCTTTCTGTGCATCTGTTGAGATTTCCTCAACACATGCATGGTGCTTGCTTTCGCGATATCATAGGGATGTCTTTTTCTCTTCTTTCAGAAATTGCTGCGCCTTCTCGCATTTTGAACTATGGTGTGACACTTGAGAGCGCAGTTGTCCTTTGATAGTCTGGTATCAACCCACGTGATGAGCGTCGCGACTTATTGTTTGCGTGCAAACATATACTGCTTCTAGTTCAGTGAAAGCATCTTGTGAAGTTGCAACATCCAGATCTGTTTCGTTGGTCTCAGCATTTCGCTTCCTTGATGTTTGACGTAGGGAGTGAAGCTCGCGAAGCAGGATCTTTGCGAGGCTTCTATGCAGTTGAAATCATGTAGGAAGGATAGTCCTTGAAAAGCGAAGGTGCGGAGTCAGGAATAAGTTTTCTGATGCGGAAAGCAGACACATAGTCTTCATCGCGCAAGCGTCCGCTGCATACGACTGTCGATGCAGATTTGTCGCTGATGATGAGTTTGTCCCTCGCAATATTTTTTGACACTTGGCGCACAGCTCCGTATTGTTTAGGAATTGGTGAGAAGAAACACCGGGTGTTTTCCCCGAACGGCACTTGCAATGCAGAACCACGGCGATGGAACGGCCGTGACGGAACGCAGCAATAAACCTCCACGCAGTTAATATATATCTTTGTGCGTAATGTGTGTACTGAAGGTTGCGCGACTGCCTTCTCGACTCGAGAAATCATTGTAGACTGAACACTGACAAATCACCGAGCGGAATGCAGCAGCGGTGGGTAAATCCCAAAATAAAGCAAGCCACACTATAGAGATAAAAGGCAATCAACAACAACCTGCTTGTAGCAATATGCCACAAGAGAGTTCATACAGATCTTACAGAAAAAAATAGCTTACTGGCCGAAAAAATTGTAATGTTGTCAATTTCTATTGCTAAACACGTTGTGCTACGAACTCGAAGGATAGTGCAGAACTGATCTGCACTAGAGTTTTAGTTCGGGGGCAAGTGGTTTGCGAGGGTAAGCAACTGCGTTATTCGCGTTCTTCGCGGACATGGCTTGCAGTACAAAGAAACGCATAAGGGCTTGGGGTCTCCAGAGTCAATATTTCTAGGTGGTGTTAACACCTTGACAATGCACACCACCACTCTCTGTGCGTGCCGTCCGAAGGCGTTATTCAGCAGGAAGGGTCCTCTTTTTTTTACTTTCTTTCTCCTTATACGCAGTTTTTTGGCTGTTAGATATACAACACACATACGTGTTTAAAAGAGTTGTCAGGCTGCAGACAGCACCTATTATCGATGAAAACCACTCCAAATGTGTATGGAAAAATAAAGAAAAATAGAAAATACCTAGCAAAGGGAACGTGCCTTCGTAATTCTGTGAGTGATTTCTCTTAATTGCGACGTCGTTGTCCGACAAGACCAAGGGCCAAAGGGGTTTAATGCCTTTTCCTTGCAGAACAGGTGCAGCATTGTTTATCTTTCTTTCTAATCATTGCCAGTGCTTTATGCCTCCTTAATGTCTCTCATTAGCCAATTCTTCCGCATTTTCAGTGAGTTTCAGCTTGTATTATCCACAAGCACATACATATTTACATTAAGCAGCAAGCCGTCTGGTAATATAATTTTTTTGTTTAAGTAGAAGATCCTCCCTCTATCCCTGATTTCTTTAATACTCCCCCTATTCGTCGAGAATCCCCATTCCACGGTTTCACATCAACAAACTTCCTTGTGCCGTGTGCGCGGCGCAGAAGATGCACGGTCAGGCTCACTGCGCCCCTACCGCCGACGGGTGGCAAAAAATAAAAACTCTCCCACTGAATTCGCGACGGATGAGAAGGCCGTAAGGAAAGAAGCGCGCGCAGGTGCAGTCTAGCCCGGCCGTGCACACCGGTGCAACGACGAGAGAGAACCCCCCCCCCCCCCCCCCCAGCAAAAGGAGCAAGCTCCTAAATCTTTACGTCCGTCGGGGCGTGAACGAGCGCATAGTGGGCCGCTCCCACGTCGGGACAGATCACGGCCGGACTCGACGCTCCTTCCGCACGCTCCTTACGGCCTTCTCAATACCGGCGCCACGCATATATTTTTTCCTGACGCGTAGTGCGGCGGCTAACCACACGTGGGCAGCACCACCTCACTGTAAGCTCCGCCGGCTCCCCGCGGCGACGCGCGGCTCCCCGCGCGTCCCCGCGCTTCGTTCTTCACGGTGTCACCAATTCCTACAAGGTTCCTTGTGCCTACTACTTCACGAAGCAGCTAAACGGTAGGGACTTATTTGCATGGACCAAAGAGGTAATCGCTGCAGTGGAATCGTGTGGATTCCTTATTGTCAGAATCGTGACGGACAACTACTCTGCAACGTAACTATCTTTACGCACATGGGTAATGGAAACTTGTCTACTGTTGTCACTCACCCACACAATCCAGATAGGGTCATATTTCTGAGTTTTGACCCTTGTCATGTGCTCAAGAACGTGCGCAGCCAATTCTTGGAACGTGAGCTGCATGTCTTGGAACGTGACAACATTGTGAAGGGCAAAGCCCTCTGTTCAAAGCAAATGGAAGTGGAGGATGCTGATGCAGAGGAGCTAG